GGTTTGGGGTGGGCTGGGTCAGGGCGCCCTGTGGCCAAGGTGTGACAAGGGAGGTGACGATGCGCACCCCAGCGCAGCGCAGCGCGCGGCGCCTTGACAAGTGCGCCCTCGTCAGGGCGGCATGCAGCGTCCCAGCGGCCGTCTGCAGCGTGCCACGACACGACAACGCTCGCTTGCCCGCTGCCCCTTCACCCCCCGCCGCCCACCTAACCACGCCCTCCTCCCAACCTTTACCCCCAAACACAGCGCTGCTTCAAGGCGGCCGTCAGCGCGGGCTTCACGGGCATCCAGATCCTGAACCACATCGACTCCCAGGACGGCACCCAGTGGCGCAACTTCCTCAGCTTTGACCCCATGGCGCGCTATGGCGGCTGGTCCTACGAGGACGTGGTGGTGCGGCCCTCCAGCGAGGCCCTCAAGGCCGTCATCAAGCCGCACCAGAAGGTGAGCAGCCGCAAGCCTTGCAAATCTGCACCTCGGTGACCGCGCTGCAGCCTAGGGACTCTCGCATGCCTGTCGGCACGGGATGCAGCGTCGCTGCTCACACCTGCGTGTGCATCCATGCTCAATGCGTATTCAAAGCTGAGGTTTTGGCAACCAACAAACTGAAACGCCCGCCTTAGGTGTGGTTCATGATGAGCGGTGAGATGGGGCGGTCGATCTTTGACTTCCCGCTGTCGTACTTGAAGCTCATGAACAAGTACCGTGGCAGCCTGGCGCAGAAGAAGTCTGCGGGCAGCGTCAAGATGGGCGTCGCGCTGCACTGGAACAAGGTGCGCTCGCGGCGCCGCGCGGGGCGGGGTCGCGGCCGGGAACGCGCGGCAGTCGCGGAACGGCCCCGGCCGGGCTCCGGCTGGAGTTGGGGCGTCTGGCAGTTGTTGCAGGGACGGATGGTCAGTCTGCTCAGCGCAGTTTGCGTGCTGCCAACTGGCACGGTTGCTCGGGCCCTGCCCCAGCCCCAGCTACTCGGAACCAAACGCCGCAACCACCCACGCGCTCTGCCCCCCAACAGGTGTGCGGCGACTGCTTCGCCATGCCGCACGTCGACAGCCACCAGATCTACAACACCACCTACCACCAGATCTTCGAGTCCCAAAAGGACCAGATCGCGCGCAAGTTTGACATTCCCATGATCCAGCGTGTGTTCCAGTCGTCCGATGTTCTCGGGATCTCGCATTACGCGCCTGCGCCCACCGACGGGCCGACGCCGGCGAGCTTCTCCATGCCCATCGACACCACGGCCTACGAGCTGTCCCACTGGGGCATTGACCTCAAGGTGGGCGCAGCGCACGCGCCTTGAGTGGGGACATATGCAATGAGCAGTCGCGTGTCCCTGGCTTGGCTGCCGACAAGAGCCAGGGCGTGTCTGCCTGCATTTTGAGTCATGTATCAATCTAATACCACACCTCGCTGTACTGGCTCGCTCAAGTCACAATCTCAGCGGACGGCTTTGCCAACCACCGTGACCGCCCCTGAAACCGCCACACCCAACCCTCCTCCAAAACGCCCCTGCCCCTGCAGGCCCTCATCATGACGGGCGGCAGGGACTTCCTGTTCTCCGAGGTCGGCTTGGGCGGCAGCGACCCCGCAGACTCGCGCCCCGCGACCAGCCTTGCAGAGCTCGCAGCCAACCCGCTGGATGGCATCTGGGCCGTGTACAACATCGCGCAGGATCCCTGGAGGATCGCCAACTACAAGCTGTACCGCCGGGAGTGGTACAAGTGAGCCGCCCACTGTCGGGGCCAGACCCGGGCGCCTCGGGGCCCGCGCCCACGCGTCGGCCTGGGCCCGCGTGATGCTTCCGCAGCCCCGCCTGGGCGCTGCTGCCGAGGGCCGCCCTCATCACGGCAGCCTAGGCCCGGCATGCAGCAGGTATGGCCAAATCTCTGGCGGAAAGCGCTCCCAACCTCGCCCAGCCCCGCTGACGTTGATCCCCCCAACCCCCTCAACCCCTATTCCACTGCCCCAGGGCCCTCACCGAGTTTCTGTACGGCGGCGGCGGCCCCCCCTACAAGGTTGACGCGGCCTTCATCTGGAGCGTCGGCTCTTTTGACGTGGCAGCCATCCACCCCATATCCACCAGCGACGAGGGCACCTACGCCGACTGGGAGATCGTCAAGTGGATGAGGTGGCTGTCCTCCAAGGTGCCCTCCAGAAGATGAGGGGGCACGCCCGATCGGCTGGGTTGGTGGATACACACAGGGTCGGCCCCGGCAGTAGGGGATTTTGACGGGCGTGTCGGAGGGTGCGGGGCGCAGCTGGGGGCCGCTCTGTCAGCCTGCTGCTACATCTTGGCAGCATCCCTCCGACGTGCTGCGACAGTCTCAACCCAGCCGATTTTTTGAGAGTGATTCGGCGTGAATCATTGCGAGTGATGGGGCGCGACCGAAGGCCGGGGCGTGCCCACCGGCATGCTCTCGTGCCTCCCGTGGCGCGGCGCACCGCGCACATCGCGAGGCGCTGCGCCGCGGGGCCGTCGCGCTCCTTTGACCCAGTTTGACCCCTTGGTCCCGACCTCTGCACGCCCTCCCATGAGGCGCCGGCGCAGCCGTCCAGGCCATCTGTACGCCAACCCATCCCGACCAGGAAAGGCTCTGGATCCTTTTAGGTCCCAGCAAGATAGCCCCAGATGGGCACTCTTGCACTTTGCATCCAAACCCCACATGCCATTGATGATCCCTTAGAGCCGATGGCACTTAGTCCAAGCCCAGTACTGCCCGATGCCGCTGCCTGATTCCTTTCAACAACCCGTCTGTCGCCGTTGCGCAGACAAGGCGCGACACCGCGTCCTCATTGCACGTGCATTGCCCGCCGGCTTGGCAGGGTCGGGGCGGGCGGGCGTCGCC